CACAACTCCTATACTCACCTTACTGATAGACTTGAAGGGTAGGACTTGAAGTCGAGGGGTGTAAGTAGAGAGAGATGCAGATACTAAGAATCAACGAAGTTGTTGAGTCTGAGGTCTTAAGCCTCAGACGACGCTCCTTATATACAAGTAATCTAAGACCCCTGACACTACGTAGGACCTATGGTACTCTACATTACTAAGTGCTCATGTGACTACTCGTGACTCGTTACTAATACACTACCATTATGTTTAGTAATACGAGGGATAATGACCGTTGGAGTATCTCCATTAGGCTAAGCTATCCACCAGGTGACATCATTCATGATGTCATGACATGTGACTGGTCTAGAACGAGTTCTGGACTTGTGGTTATCTTATCTACTGATCCCATCATATCTATATGATGATCTAGGTCTCGTGATATGCATGTGACCGTGTAAGTCACGTGATCGTGTTTAGCGCTATGACGAGTGCTAAGAATATAATAGGCGCTTGTATGGGGCGAATTTGTGACAGTAACAGCTGCACTCCGATCTCCACTGAACCTTCTATCTCTGAGTCTGATCAGCAATGGACATCTGATCTCCGTCGACCTGACAACATCAGACACCATGACACATCAGCCCCTATTTCTCCGCCGAATCCCCTAGATACTAGCAGATGCCATAGTTACAGTCGCTTAGGTAATGCTTGGTCTGTGTGCAACCTGAACAGTATATAAAGACCTCCTTTGTAGCCTCCATCTCAACCTCTTGGTTATTGGACTAGGTAAGCCTTCCTTTGTATCGTAGCACACTTACTAATAATTACTTGGTTATCAGGCTAGCTGAATACACACAATTCAGTTATAATGGTTACATGAGCTGTGAAGCACACTATATGACAAAGTTCCAGTTGACTTAGATCAACTATAAGCTGGCCAGAAGTAAAATCAAATCAAATAGAGCAGAATTTGCTAGCTAAAATAAAAAATGGAAACATCAGACACATTTACATCTAAACTAAAGCTTGTGCAGCTTGCATATCAGTTTCATTCTATATTACTTACCAATGTAGTGAATATAGCCTACAAACATAATGAGGTAGTATTTTCAGTTTGTATGCTGCACCATATATAGCCTTAATTCAGCCAGTATACTTTTAGCCAACATATCTGGCCAGTGTTTTTGGCTTGCACATATTTTTGGCCAGCATATGTACCTGGCCAGTGTAAGTGGTCCTTGGCTAGCATATGTATCTGGCTCGTGTAAGTGATTCTGGCCAGCACATGCTTCTGGCCAGCATATGTTTCTGGCCGGCACATGTTCCTGGCCAACACATGTTCCTGGCCGGCACATGCTCCTGGCCGGCACATGTTCCCAGCCAGCACATGCTTCTGGCCAGCATATGTTCCTGGCCAGCACATATTCCTGGCTAGCATGTCTCTCTGGCCAGTATTCATCTCTGGCCAGCCCATGTCTCAGGCTGGCATATATTTTTGACTAGCATACATCTTTAGCTAGTGTATATCTCTGGCCAGTGTGTGTTTCACGCCAACATATGTTTTTGGCTAATTATTTTTATTTAGTGTGCATTCTCAATTGATATTTATCTTTGCTTGATATGTGATTAAATCAGTGCACATCTTTAGCTAGTGTGTATCTGTAATCAATACATAGCTGCTACTATCAATACTGTCTGTTTCAAGTTTTACACATATAAAGCCAATACATTTTGACCACTAGTATAGTTATTTAAAAGACCAACACTAATACTACTTGTTCACAGACATGAAAGGTGCTGCAACATTAGTTAAAAGGCTGTTACTATTGCTACTGTTAGCTGCAATGACATTGTCAGATGTGAGTTTTTGGCAAGTTGCTTTGATAGCAAAAATCTGGCAACAAAAGCTTAGAACTAGCTGCTTTTGAGCAAGCAGTTAAATCCAGCATCTTAAATTGTATATATGGCTAGAAATTGCAAAGTGCATGGAAACCAAGCTAACACAGATTGTGCCAGTTTAGAGATCTGACTACAATTGAATTAGTATGTAGGCCAGATCAGTATAATTTAGTCTAAAATAGACAATAGCTTTTGTTACAAGCTGCAATGATATTTGGTGCATGTTTCATATAACATTTGTAAATCTGGCCAGATACCAGATGTTCCATATTTTATGGCTTTTTGCCATGTTTATTTGGACAAAATGTATGAAAACTGCTACTGAATGCATTGCTGAATAAGCCAGTACAATCATTGTGAGACTTCGCTTTGTGCTGCCTTCTTGTTAGATCCACGGCATCATTTCTCGTGCTGCATTGACATCAGTCCACAACAGTACCATCCACTTGGTTCCTTCAGTTGGACCGCAAAGAGGTCTGTATTGATACTCATTGCAAACAGTGAATATTTCTAACAGCAACCTGAATTGACATGGCTGTTATGCTCATTTTTGACAATGCTCACAGTATGATGCACCCCAATAGCACACCAATCTTTTGCAACCATCGCCCAATCAACATTTTCTTTATTGGTCCATTGTCCAGAGTACCACAGTACGACAACTTCGAGTGCAATGCACCCATCATACTCGAGCATGGCAAATGGCTGGAAAATCTGTGGCAAGTGACAGGGCCCTCACAAATGCTTGACTGCTATCTCATCATTGCCTCATACAGTAGAAAAGGACACTGCTGTGGTATTGTAGTCCAAGCGCCATGCAGAGACATTGAGAAATGGAGAAGTGCCTCCAAAGTGATTGGACAGCGGGCATGCTGGGCACACAGAACAGAGGTGTGGGTGGCTTTGGAGTGGCTATGAGTGCAAACAACACTAGACCGAGGAAGGGTATGTGTAGTAATTTGACTGGCTTGGCTTCAAACCAGCAAGTGGGCCAAGCCAAGCCTACACAAGCCAGGCCAAGCTAAGCCAAAGCGTGCCAGCCAAGCTAAGCCAGCAAGCCGCAGCTTTAGATAATAAACTTACTGTATTTAGTACCGCTGTTAGAGTAATTAGTGATAAATTCCTAAAATATTATATTGTGCTCTTCTCTACCCCATCTATCTTCTAATGTACATAAATTAATAGATTATTAATAAGACTGAGCTATACCACAAAGAAACATAGTAAGGGCATCGGCACTTGCTCTGCTTAACTAGCTGCCATGTAACATTGCGGACCCCTGTTCAAACAGCTTTGCAAGATTCTGCCACACATGGAAGGAGAGGCTTGTTCAAGCAGTGTCATAAAGAAAAGGTTAGGATAAAATAAGTAAGTAAAATAAAATGAGGCTTGGTATAAAGAAGATTCTAGGAAAATTTTAGAAGGTTACTTTTTAATAAAAGGGAATGGAGTTTGGTCTGAAGTTCTAAGCTAAAAAGCAAGAAAGGTATAGTATAGAGTATGAAATACTTAGATTTGGTTTTTCTAATCTTTTCTTTCCAGGGTTCACTGGGTCAGCCTTTTAACTGAGCTATCTTGGTGTTTGTGGAGGATTAATTCAAAGACAACCTACTAATTTGCTTGAGTATTCTAAAGCCTTACTTGTCTGTTTTTTTACAAGGGGCTTTAAGGAATCTTTAGAAGATGGGCTGTAAGAAGGTTTGGTTAGTAGCTTAAGAACTAGCTATTTGAGTTAGTATAATAGAGTTTTCAAATAAGTTAGTAAAATAGAGTTTTTAGATAAGTAAGATAAGAGAGTAACAAAGACAAGTTAATGTCTTAGTTAACTTAGTAAGCTTTGGCTAGTAAGGACAATTCAATGTTCTTAGAGGATTTATATAACTTGAAGCAGTCTGAAGTTTC